ATTTTTTCGTTTTTTCTGACTTGCTTGTAAAATGGTACTGGGGGCATGGGGAGGATACTTTTTTTTGTTAATACTGATCGATTTGTGTTCATAGACAAGTAGTTGATTAGACTTCTGCGCTCTGCCCTACTATTAAGAGTTCTTGGTATTAAAACGAGAGAGTACTTTTTAGTAAAAATAATAAAAAACATTTTTTTTTCTATTTTTGCGTTCCTAATGTATACATTTTTTTTATGAATAACAGGCCAGGCGTATAACACCTAACACGATGCGCTATCAATATATTTCATCTATGGATACTCGTAAATTCGGATATACGTACAAACACACGGCAAACATTTGTAGTGTATGAATAGGATTTTTATTATTTTCACAAAAGCTACCCTCTATGTTTTTAATTCATGAAAGTTAAATTTCGGCTAGATATCTTATAATTGACCCGTATTATAATGACAAAAAACTGCACAATACGATACTCGTCGTCGATTTCCCCGGACTCAACCGAACTTTCCAACAGCCTACTCGACTCCTGCGCAGGTTTTATGCAATACGGCGCTATTTTGACTACACGTGACAAAAAGCAGTGTATATAATCGTCATTGAAATTAAAATAAGACTTCATTTAACAGTTTTCGTAAATATTAAATCAATTTTGTATTCATATGCTAATTACTCTACTTAAATATTTAATCTGCGCAAGTAGTTTTCTTTACAATTCCTTAATGAGATTTAGTATTTTAACTGGTATCTTATTTTAAATTACTACAAACCTAAAATGGATTTGTCGAACAAACAATTTTTAATTCATATATAAAGCACGTGAGGATAACTTCTTCAGCTAGTTCTTGCGTGATATAAAGGCGATCGTTTGACACACATACTGTACAGGTTGCGAAACGGCGCGAGCGCAGTCTGGTACTGCGGTCAACACAAAAGATTGTAAGCGAAGAAAGCGCTTCGTTTAGACTACAACTGATTTAATTTTAATGAAATCAATCTCACATTCTATTCCGAAGTTACCGTTCTTCCTCCCCATTTCACTCATTCTTTATAGTACAAAAATAATATTAACATAAGTAAGTAACCGCGAAAATTAATTATTTATCAACATAACATCGTAGTGTATCATCAAGTTACCAAGGTTTAATTTGTTTTAAATTATGTAAGCTACTAAAATAAACAATAGTTTTGTGCATGGCAGGTAAATTTATACATATAATAAACAATGCAGCGCTGTGTAACCTAGTCAATATCGTTTTATAGCAACTACAAAGCGCTACTAGCGCTTCATTATACAAATTTATTGCTTGGTTTGTTTGTTTAATTGCTGGAAAAGCATCACTAGCACTTTTTACGTCCATCAAGTGTTACAGATCATTGCCCTGTGAAGGTTCATTTCCTAACTACTTGATTGTATTATTTGATTATTCATACATACCGGTTGAAAATTACCACTTACATTGTTAACATTTGTAAGTAGGTAAATCTAATAGGAGCAATAGAAATGCATGTTTTGTTGGCAATCGACCACTTATTAAATTAGTCTGCAATGCATAACACCATCCAAAACACAAAAGGCATATTAACGAAAAAAAGTGAAAGTTTCAACGCACACCTACACAGTTAAGTTCAGTTGAGTCATTAATGCTATAATATACCTATATTGAAAAATTGTGGATATGAAAATGATATAGTAGGAATAAGCAATGTATAAATGTAATATGATAGCTTCTGACATAACGAACAAACATTTTTAGAGGTTATACATATTATGTTACATTGTTAGTTTATTTGTTTAACTCGAAGTGAATTCGAATGTTTTTCAAATTTTGATTCAACTATAAAGATGAATTTCTTTAAAATTTATCTGTAGTTTGTTAACGCATGTAGCACACATTCAAATAAAACCTTTTTAACGTTCTTAAACGAGATATATCAATACGTTAAATAATAGTAATTAAGATGTTTCATTTAAAAGTTTTAACGTGAATAGTTCATATTCTATTGTAGTATTTATTCAATCTTGAAAATGTTCAAGGATTTTAAAAATTAGTCGTAAATAAGAATTTAAATACAGTAGGTATAACATTCTATTAAAAAGCCAATTTAAATATTTTTATGACCGAGCTCGGTTACCCATTAAAACGTCAACGTGCAATACATAAACTTTCACCTAATAACCTTATTTGGATGAGCTTAGGCTTTAAAACCTGCGTCCGCGCATCGACTAAGAAAGTGTACTTAAAAAAGTAACTTTCCATATAAAAATAATGCCTGCATTACTGAATTGAATAAAAATTTAAAAAGGTTCCGCTTTTCACTTTGCTGAATATCAAAGACAATGAACAGTCCCGTGTTCGAATCCTGGTGCAGCACAATAGTTTCGATAGGAAGGTCATAGCTTGCTTACGAACACATACGTTTAATTACTATCGACTACAAAAATAGTCTTAATTTACTTACTTTTAAAAATAATTATATTTATCAATATTATGTACATCTGAAAGTTTTTTAGCTTTCGTAAAATGATCCCAGATCTTAATATAAGCGTGTTGTCGAATTTTTTAAATCAAGTATGTAATTCCAAAAAATACATTCAAGGATTCAAATATTCCATAAGCACATACAAAGGTGCCTTAAAAGTAACGTAAGCATATCGGCAGTTCGTATCTAGGACAAACGGCGAAAATTTTTTAACACTACCCAGAGAAATTTAGATCGTATTTTCAGAACATAGGGTTTAATTTCGCCCAAACGTCGCTCAGCGAAAATGAAAGTTATATTCCGTTTTGCACGGACAAATTTCAATACAAAATTCACGATTCTTATTCTCTTTGTGTGGTAGGTCGGATGTAAATAAAGGATGTTTGGTTCTATTTTTAAATGATAAGTTTGATAGATCCGTAACGTAATTATAAAGAAAACTATTCAATACTGTCTAGTTTACGCGAGTAATACCTACACATTTTAATAACACTTTTAACAGTTTCAAACGCGTAATCTTAGTTAACTTAGTTACAATTTCTTTTAACTACGGCCCGACATTTCGGATGCTTTCCAGCAGCCGTAGTTACGGGGGGGGGAGTTTATTATTTTACGCTACGCGTTTAAAACCGTTAAAAGTCCTTTATTAAAATATCTTGTTCGGAGAGGATTAGACGACAATATGAAAAAAATAGATTAAAAAGCTAGTCTCCCCGTGACCACGGCTGCTGCAAAGCATCCGAAACGTCGGGCCGAAGTTAAAAATCATTTTCAAATAAGTTTAACTAATATATCGCGTTTTAAACCGTTAAAGTGTTTTATTTAAATAGATTAAAAAGCTATTGTTGTGCTCTGCCTGCATATAGTCACGGGTGGTTCAATCCTTGATTATTGGAACCTGTGACTTAAGAACAATAGGTAATAATCAGGTACTTATTTAAGTCCTAAAACGCGTAACAAAAACTTTTCCTGTAATTTAAACGAAAAAATATAGAAATGGAACGGAAGTCAACCAAGAAATAATTCTATGTGCTACAGATTAAATATCCATTTAGATTTTAAAAAGTGACAACACGACACCATGGTTAGAAGAACGTAAATAATATAAAGGCATTTTTATAAAAATAAATTTTTAATATGTAAGACACTATTTGAGTCACTACTAAGTAATAAAAGCGTAAATTATTGAACTTGTGTTGTTTTTTTTTTAATTTAACTATTGTGATTTAAATTTTCTTATATCGGGCAACCCCTTTGTCCTATTGTCATTTTAAATCTCTCTAATATGTTTGACTATAAACACACTGTAATATGTAGATTTAAAATTCTAATAATAGTGTCCAAAACACTATAGATTAAGTTGAACAGAGAAATGAGATACAATTTGATGTTGTTTTAGTAGCGAAAAGGTTATCTAGTTCATTAATTTCGTTGAGTTGAATTTTCATTTAAAAGCTCATATCTAAGAAGGCTCTAGAAAAGTGAACGAGTAACGTAATTCTATAATAATTGTATAAACATCCGATAAAAGCACGTGACCAAAACATTTACACGTGAATGAAGTATGATTCAAATTATAATATTTTTTAAGAAAAGTTTTGTTCTTGTTTTTCGTTAAAATTTTCCTTATTTCTGTAATGAATTTATTTTAGTAGGGAAAGTGTCCGTATAAAGTTATTTAGATTGGTACCTCATAAGAATAGAATTGGAAAACATTATAAGTACATATTTTGATAACTTCAAAATTACTTACTGGTTTAGGGCATGGCTTTAAACCGAGTTGACTTGCCAGTAATTAATTCAATCGATAAAACAGACATACGAATATGTCCGTCAATGCCCTATGGGAAAGGGGATTTGACTACGCTTTAAACTAAAATCCAAATTTCTGACTTAAGTGCTTTTTTAATACGACAAAAATGATGTTAATCGCCCATAAAAAATATTTAAAAAATTATAACATTTTTAAACTTAGTATAATTAGCCATAGGTTCCCGCGATGACAGATCGTTCAATCATTACGGGCCATTTACTTATTACTGACTTTTATTATTAGATAAATGAACGCAATTTGGTAACAACTACTCGGAAGCGACACATTAATACGAATTCTCGTGAAAAATATTTTGAATCTAGTTCAGAAATAATAAATACATATACCTATATGTAATTGAGATGATGTGTTCCTTTTCCTAAATCATAAAAATAACAAAGTACTGGGAAGAGGTCTTATTAGAATAGTAATATCGAACTACTTTTTTCGTCTCTTCGTCTCTATCGTTAATGCTTTTTATAAATAAAGTATTAACAAATGATTAAACAATCACATTTTTCCATCTATCACATTTTCCAATCATACACGAATTACATACGAATAAATATATCGAGGCAATAAACATTGCATAACGTCCCATAAAATCTAATCCTTTTCCGAACATTTACGACTTTCACACATGCATCCTGCACACAAGCGCGTAGCACCCACACATAGACACAGCGCACGTACTCACCTATGGTCAGAGTGTATGATCCGGCGCATGCGGCGCTCCTAGCTGCAGCATCGACCGGCACAGTTCCGTGATCTCCGGGTGGTTCAGATTTATCAAATGAACGTACATCTGTTTGTGCAAACTCAACTCCCCGGTCACCGCTTCCAGCCTCTTTAATAAAGCATCTTTCTCCCTCAACAGAGTTTTCACCTTTTCCTCCACTTCCCTAGAACGTACTTTAGCCTTTTCTCGCGATTTCCTAACTGCTATGTTATTGCGTTCCCTTCGTCTTCTGTATTCATCAGTGCCTTTATCTATCACTTTACCCGAAGAACGTCGGGGGGGTGGAGGTTTGTGTTTTAATAGAGGAGGTAGCAGCGGCGCACCGAGGGGTGGCAATGGGGTAAAACCGCCTCCATACGGACCACTCACACCGACTGGTGGTTGAGGATTATACTGTCCAGTGTACTGAGCACATGTAACTGATCTTCTAAAGTCGTGCGGTTCCGGAGGCTCTTCTTTTATTGGCGGCGCTTGGTCGTGTGAATTAGGCTGAACTGGGGCAGCATACGACGCGCCGGAGTGGACCGGCTGCGGCATGTACGCTAATGTGGTTCGAGCAAATGGTCTCTGTTGCGGCGATCTTCCTCCCGGCAGGATTTCCTGAAACAGAGCCATCGTTTCCTCTCCTCGAAACTGGTCCTCAATGAGGTGTTGTAGGTCCAAGCTGATCTCCTGTTCATTGAGATCGGAGTCCAGGTGCCGGGGATCTAGATCCGGGGGCTGGAAGTTGGTGCGTTTGTCGTCGTTCTTCTTGAGGTCTGGTTGCGGCGGCGGCGGCGGTGCGCCGGCCGCGTCGTACATTTGCGGTGACTCCATACCGCCGGGGCCTATAGGCCCAGCGGTTCCGTTTCGAGTATCCACTTCAGAGCACTAAATGATCACTAGAGCACATGCGGGTCGCGTGGCGTATCACTCGCGGTAACTGCGTGTACGTGTAGTCGCTCCGGCGTTCGGGCGTTGACTGAGCGCGCGCGCAAGGTTGTCCGGAAGGAAGCTGTAACTGAAAGTTTACAAGTAAAAGTTTAAGCGTAGCGTACACTGTCGCACGCTGATTCATGATTTTCATAGAACCGGTTTAGCCTTTATGATATTTGCGCATTAATTTAATGATATTTCGTAGCTATTAATCTTTATATTACGGCGTCTAAGTCAAAGAATTATTTCAATTACCCTTGTCTTGGGTCTTTTTTGCTTTTGATTATTAAAAAGTTGAAATCTTGATCATTATAGTCAAACAACTAAAATTTAATTAGAATAAATTTCTACAATTTTTATAACTTTCGGAGTAATAAAAATTATATAAGGACTTATAATTAAACAAAACTTTCACCTTAGCCAATATTAATTTATCCTAATATACGAGTGAGAGCTCTAAATAAATAATAAACTGAATATTATTTTCTTCTTTTATTTATTAATTAATTATAATTAAGCTGAGTTTAGACGAGTTCATTGCGTTTTTTTTTAAATGTACACATATAATTTGCGTATTTTTATTTTCTTTTGTTAATGTATAATTAACTTTATTTGCGTAACAAATGAAAACAAATGTATGTTTACAACTTTAAAATAAATTTTAAGTTGAACTATAAGTACCTTATGTCTGTACATAAGTAGAAACCCACCTCCCTTGTAGTTTTATCGGCTTGTATTATCTTTATAAACTGAAATAAAAAATATCAGTCATAGACAAAAAATGGCGAACAACGAACCAGCAATAAAAATAAATGAAAGTCTGTCATCCCTTTACATTCACCCCAGGACCGAGAACCGATAAGGCGTATCTACGCGTTATCATCACGAATCAACAACCTGCGTTATCACTACCATCAGAATCGATTTGTGTAATCGATGCATCGAGATGCAGCACGAATGCACGTGCAATCGGCTAGATAGCGATCGAGGAATCGATTACATAATCGTTTCGTCACTAATTACAAATTTTGATATCCAATTTGCGTTATTAGTCATTCATTTGTTTTTGCCAAGTTTTATAATCCAGGTAATATTTTCATATTTTCAAGTGATTAAAGTTAAAGAAATACGACCGTCCAGTAGATCTAGATGCTATTGAAGCTAACATGTTCCCTTTTGTACACTGCGTGCAAGTAATGTAATGTGTCAATCATAAAAGTGTTAAAAAATATTGTTTAGAACCAAAACTTTCAAAGTATCCAAACTAAATTTGAGCATCAATTAATATTTAATCATTACTGCAATTCGTCTATAAATAACAATGAAAATTATTTTCATTACTAAAAGTAGGTACTGACGAGAACTTATTTAACTTCTATATAAACTCAGGAACTACACGAGGATAGAAGAAACAGTGGAAAATGTGCGAAAAAACATTCATCTCTGACGGCTTTCGTTGTGTGCGCTGCGAAAATGGTTCAAGAAAGCAACAAATATGAATAAACGCAGAGGTCTTTAAATGTCTATAACAATAGCTAATATATATATAATATATATATATTTTAAGATTACTCGCAGAATTGATCTAAATGTCTGCTAAACCCAATTATTTGTAGAGTTTTATCAACTATCAACGTAATCTTGCAAACAACAGAACCAGATAGTCAATATAAAAATCTAAGTAACGAAGAATCACTAATTTTTAAATAAAGTATAAAAGACACTAAACGAGACACGTGTGTCTTGACCTAATACGTAAAACCAAAGCCAAATAACTCGAAACACAGTATTCGCTAGTGTTTGCGAAATTCGATATTTCTTAAAGCGTATCATTACGTGACGTCATTTCAATTATTTTTCGTTCAAATATTATTTTAGCCGTGGAATCAATTTTTAAGTTCATATACATACAATTATTCATTATAATAATGTTAACACATAGCTGTGTCAGCGACTTCGTCTGCGTATAATAGTTATTTTTAGCATACAAATTTGTTTTTGCAAACCTGTTTAAAGACCTTAAAAGATAGACTGTCGCAGAGAGACATTGTTTTAGATCATTTAAAGAGGAATTATTCTTTGATACATATTTTTTGGTAAGCTTGAACCGTTGTCGTAGCATAGGCTTCCTCGATAAATGCTCTATACAGCAAAGAGTTGTAACTTCCTGGAATGAGCGCGTTCAAACAAACAAACAAACTTTTTAGCCTTATATATTAGTATACATTCAAACAAATTTTAACATTATAAGTGGTTAAGTATAACTCGGAAATAAATATGAAATTTATGTTAATGATAGACATATTTCTTTCAAATAGATTTGTTATTACGTTTCATTCTTTTAACTTTTCTTTTAATATGTCATTTAATTACATTTAAAGATGTTGTACTGTGTGTTTTCTCTTGCTGTGTCTTTAAAAAACACAGTACAAGCCACAGTTAAATGTCCGTTTTATTAATAAAGCCCTATTGAACAATTTATCGTTTTGCAACAAATTTGAACATAAGACTGCCGTCTTTACTTCATACTGCGTCTGATCAAGTTTGAAATGGGAATTTTTCAGTTTTTGTGTTTAAATTACCATGTTGCATTATTATAGAATAAATAAATTCACAGTAAGAAATGCATCGGATTCTTTGTTAGACTCGCAAGCAAAACGGCTAGACAGCGAGACCTAGTAACTCCCCACCAAAGGGTAGAGGGGGTAGTGAGAGGAATGACTGTGACGCAATGCCCGCGCCGGCGCAATGAAGTACGATACATTTATGTTGGTATGTTCAAAAAATACCGAGAATCTTTCTTTAATAAGAATTATTATCATTGAAATTTGAGAGGCTCGTTGGTGTAATGGTAACAATGTATAGCTAATAAGGTCGTGAGTTCGATTCCTATCGGGCCCAACTTTATTCTAATCGATATATAATTTTTCTAAAGCATATTGGACTCTGTAAATCTGAATGTTAAAAACGTGACAGGAATATCTAAATTCCGTCCGGATCCAAACCAATGTCTACAGATTAAAAATCCGTGAAGTTTAAGCGCGTTACGCTTTCGGTCTGTGAATTTCCGAATAACCGAAGCCAAAATAGGTCGACCGCGCATTTTGTTAGATGTTAAATGGTTAGGGTATTTCACCTCTTTGGAGTCGTACAAACGTGTTCCCAGGGCTCCCTCAAAGCACCGTAGAGGGCTGGTGGTGTGTTTAGTGGTTCTAGTCGGCTATACGACTTACCACACTCCCCACGTCACACTTGCCCGACGTGGGCGTGCATTGGGCATTCACACCATCAGTTAAAAGAAAGGGTATTTCAGTTTAAGGATCTAAAAAATGTTAGCAGTTCATGTCTATAGTATATAGTCTTTTTTTAGTAATCAATTGGTCCAATTCAATGCACCAATTATTTGTTAGAGTTGTATCAACATTATAATTTGAATTTTGCAAACAGCAAGACAGAGATTGCAATTTTTTTTAAATATAAAAAACTTTAATACGTACAAGAACATCTTTCATATTAACAATTATTATAGAAAAATCGAATCTCAGTTTAGGGAGAGAAAATTAAATATTTTAATGGTTTAAAACTGAATATTTAACCCTTAAGCATATTCTTCAGGCAATGTAGAGTGAGCCAACGTTTCAATGAGTGGGTAAGTAGGCAAACGACAGCAGAAAGTTGTTAGCAACAGTGACGCAATGCGCCCGCGCCGGTAACCCAGTCACCGCGGATTGGCGCACTCGACCGACTGTGCACTAAAGGTTTTGCCCATATCCCCTTTGTGGGGCTAGATTTAGTCGATTTTATCAATACGATAGGAGATAGAGAAGAGTCTGATGTTTTACTGAAATACTTTGCTTGTTTTTTCCCGGGAGTTAAATACGCCAAAAAAGCCTCATACGAAAATTTTTTGACACGTTTGACATTAATTTTATTGATTGCTTATCATAACTGCGATCGTTTTAAAATTCAGGGAATATTTTATGTTATTTATTATTCCCTTCGAAATTCTAAGAAATGTTTAAACGTGCTTTAAGTACATAGTCACATCTATGTGTTCTTTTCTCGTTATAGTTTCATTAATAATTGTCTATGTTACACTATGCCATTCATTGTATTATCATTACTACCACCTCCAAATCGGAGGTAGTAGTAATTTTAATCGTAGGAGGCGAATAATAAAGGCAATTCTTGATTTTATGATGCATCGATGATATCATTGTGGGAACTTATTATAAATGCAATTTTCAAAGATTTTTTTACAAACCATAGCACGACGAAGCTTTTTAAAAGCGAAGATGCGCTGTCGGCATATTATAGATATTCGGAAATCTATAGACGAAACTGAGATAACAATTCACAGCGTTTCTATGTGTAGATGGTGGCTCTTGAACTCAAAGAAATTTCATTATTTCTGCCACCATTTTTTGTTATCAGCTTTTTGCAGAGGTGCATTTCCGAGGATTAAAGAGAGAAGCCTGTTTATTTTAACTTACGGATTACTTTAAGTTTTTGAGTTGGAAGGAGAATTTATTTCCAATATCTTGGACAAAACCCCTTTTCTATAACCCTTATCATGCAAGATTAGAAATGAAAGTTTTCCACAAACGCCATTTTGGATAGTCGATACTGTCGATTAATTAATAATTGCTTTTCAGAGATAAATACAAGGCATAACGATAAATGCTAAACAGTTGTTAATTAGATTTCTTAATACACATTTTCCTTCCTCGTCAATTAAATTTCCGTCAATACAAACAGATGTTGTAGTAAAAATTCTAAAACCGGTTTTGCATTTTCGCGTAAATATGATTTATCTAAGAACAAGTTGAACTTTGACGCCGATCAAATTAATAACCACAAAATCAAGTAAACGCCTCCGCACACCTACGGGCAAAAACGCT